TATATATATATATATATATATATATATGTCCACAAATCTTATGTATTTATGAATGCGATTAAAATAAAAGAAATCATTGAAATATGTAAGAAAATAAAATTTCTAGCGAACAATAAAAAATAGGGAAATTTACATACATGCCGCACAATTCATATGTATTGATATATCTAACACCAAAATTTTGATATTTACAATCATATCATCTTTATGCCATAAACGCATGCATGAAACTAATGATTCTTGTATGTGATATGAAAAATGTGAATGATATAAATGAAAAAAAAAAAAAAAGATTCATTTTGTTAGATATGTAAATTAAATACATAGAAATTGAGTGGTTGAGTGGTATGTAAATTCTAAATCCTGAAACCTAAATCTTAACATTTAATTTTAGGGATAATTATATATTGGGCACTAGAAACATTGTTATTTACAAATCAAGCACCAGGTGATTTTATTAACTACCGATCCAATGTATTTAAGCGTGCAGGGATAAAATAATTGAAAATTTGATAAACATGAATTATATGGTTGGAGTTCTATCATGAATGTTAATATTCGAGCGAGAATTTGAAAAAAAGACGGAAAAACAGTGTTTGATTTGTAAACAGCAATGTCTGGTTGCTTGCAATTAATATCTAATTTTCAGTTCAATTTTAATTTTCATTTAACTGAGCAAACAGAAAAATGAAGATTTTATTTAAAATTTTTATTATATTTTAATTTTACATCACATAAACTAAAAAATTAAAACTTTTTTTTATGATAATATGCGCCAAATGAAGAACGCATGAGGGTGTTGAAGATGCTACGATGATTTCCCCTTCTATATATATATATATATATATTCTAGTATATATATATATATATATATATCTATGAGATACTGATTAGGATATTTTCAGTTTTCCCTTGGAAAGAAATTAGCTAGATGGCAACTACCATTAAAAGCTGAGAGATCAGTGAAAAAGAGAAATCATACAAAAAATAAATAAATAAACTAACTTTTTCTATCCAATAAAACACAATTAACATATAGATCTAGGAATTCTAGATAGGGTATAATAGGCATGGGTGAGCTAGCCAAACCGGCTGATCTAGACTCCTTAACGAGCTTGTTCAGCTTTGAGTTCGAGTGAAATTTGTTAGAAGTGAAGCTGCTACTACAAAGGATTATTCAATCTCCCAAGGAAGCAATTGCAGGAATTACGCTCAATAATCGAGTCAAGCTCGAGTTTTTTAAACGAGCTGAAGCTAAAGAGCCGAGCTCAAGCTCGTTTATTTTTTAAAGTTGAGTTCGGGCTCAATAGATGAGCTCGAGTTGAGCCCGAGCTCAAGCCAAGTATAAATTAATCAGGCTTAGCTCAATTAAGCAAAAACTCAACTCGACGAGTTCACACCTCAAGATTATAAGGATCGATTAAGGAATTGTGGAGCTTGTAAGACAATGAGGAGATGGGAGAACTGAAAAATCCAAAATTATACAGAAGGAAAATAAAGATGGCAGTAGCAGTTTCCTAGAAAAATGACAACTAAGAGGGTAGATAGCGGCAATGGAGGAGAAATAAAAGTGTTGAGGGTGATCTGCACCATCTATTATTGATCAAGATACAGATGCACCACTTGAAAAGGAAGTACAGAGACAAAACAGAGAAACAGACTCCCATCTTATAAATCAGACCAAAAACTGAATAATAACAGGTGTTAACCAAATTTATATACTATAGAATACAAATAAACCATAATTCTGGTATAGATTAAGTAAATAAAGGCCCCTAAAAAAGTAGCTTTCCTTCTTTTCCTAGAACTAGCTATGATTCAAAGAGTAAACATGCAAGGAACCAAAATCTTCCAAACTTTAAGAGAAAAATAAAAATAACAATGAATTATCAAGTGCATATCATTAGAAATTTCTAAAACAACATTGGTCTACATACGGTGCCGAAAAAAAATTACAAGCCGCCTTAAATAAATTCAGCCTCGTTTAGATTTCAATCATGAAGAATCAAGTATTTACTTACTAGAAGCCTCAGAAGCCTGTGCATTAGAGCGAACCTCAGAAACACAGCTATCAGCTTTCTCTACAGACAACTCTGATGGGGATTTCTTTAGGGTTGGTTCTGTGCCAGTCGGAGTAACAATAGCGCGCTTAATACCCCGGCCAACCACTCCCAGATCCGTAAAACCACCATTTGCCGCGGTGGAAATTGTTGGGGAATCAAAGCTGCCACCTTCAATGGCAGCCATTTGAGAAGAGCTAACAGATGAAGATCTGGAAAAATCTCTAATAGCGCTCTTCTCCCCAGAAGTTAAAGTGGAATCATTTCTTTTCAGAAGCTCGATTAGTATAGACTTTGGATTTGACATTAGCTGCTGCAGATCTTCAAGCTGAGTTTCAAAATTTTTTTAAGACAAATCAGTTGATATCAGAGTTAACCCAAACTACAATAAGAAAGATGATACAATCACTCAAAGAAAATAAGCAATTACAATCACTCACACTTGAAAAGGGAACACAATAAGAAAGCTAATATTATTACTAAAAGCAAATAGGTAATTACAATCTCCCACACTTGAAAAGGGAATACAATAACAAACAAAATACTAATACGACAAGGGTTGTATCCTAAAGGAGTTGGTGGTGAGTTGACGGTCGGAAGGCTGGTGGAAGTGGTTGTGGATCAGCAGGTGCAGGGACAGCGAGGTCTGGACTGCAGGTGGGGGTAAGGGGCTGCCGTGGAACTGCGAGTGGGAAGAACAGTGGACTGTAGGCTGGGTTGCAGCAACAGGAGGTAGGAGTGAGTTCTTTGCTCAGTTGCGTGCACCAAGACCGCCGCAGGAAAAGAGGCTATGAGGCTGACCGGCAGCAGAACAGCAACATGGAGGAAGGGAGGGAAGCTGGCGGCAGCAAGGGGGAAGCGATTAGAAGGCTGACCGGCAGCTAGAGAGGAGCAGGGAAGCAGGGAGGGAGGCTGACAAGGTAGCGGCTGCAAGGAGGCGGCGGTTGGTTGGAAGGATGGCTAGCAGCTAGGGAGGAAGGCTGGGGGAAGCAGGGAAGGGTAGATTAACACTACATCCGGACGAGTTACAGTCGGAGAATCTTCCACCTTTGGATACAACCCTAGAAAGCTAAAACTAGACGCCAGCGGCAGGGCAGCAACAGGGAGGGAAGCTGGGAAGGTGGCGGCAGCAAGTGGGCAGCGATTGGAAGGCTGCCCAGCGGCTAGACAGCAGCAGGGAGGCAGGGAGGGAGGCTGACAAGGTGACAGCTGCAAGGGGGCAGCGGCTGGAAGCATGGCTGGTGGCTAGGGAGGAAGTATGGGGGAAGCAGGGAAGGGTAGATAAACACCACCTCAGGACGAGTTACAGTCGAAGCACCTTATCACCTTTAGATACAACCCTAGAAAAGCTAAAATTGGACGCTAGTGGCTGTCCTAAAGAAAAATTCTAAGTGAAAACTGACCTAAAATACAACTACACACACACACGCGCATACATAAATACATACATACATATACAACAGGTAAAAATGAGTGAGACCCACTCCAAATAGGAGGGAAACACATGCTTAGAAGGACCGTCAGTCCCTCCTTTGTCTAGATCGAACCGATCCTGGGCAAATCAGAGGCAATAGCTGCGTGTCTAGGGCAAAAGACGTCTCGCATTAGTCTACAGAGATCGGGGGAGCTTCAACCTCATCTGTCGAACATTTTATGTCCCTGTAGTATGGAATCAAATCTACCATGTTGAAGATAGTTGAGATACTATAATAGCTCAGCAAATCTATCTTGTAACTGTTGTCATTCAACTTCTTAAGGATTTTAAAAATGTCCATCTGATTTGGGCTTGAGCTTCTTGAATGACCTTAGAGGAAATCTCTTTTTCTTCATTTAAATCCATAGATCTCCCTCCTCGAAGGTCACCTTCTTTCTGGATTTATCATCTTGCGCCTAGCACTTGTGTTTCAATTTGGCAATTTCTTTCTCAACCTCTTTGTACGGCCTTCGAATTTCCTATACCCTCGCCTCTACATCCAAATTAGCCTCCACTGTAGGGAGAACTGGTCCTAACTCAAGCAACGTGAGCGGATTGGGTCCATACACAATCTGAAAAGGTGTGTCCCGTAGTTTGACTCACAAACACATTGTAGGCAAATCTAGCTCAGAACCCACTGTTTGATGTTCTCTCCTACGAAGCACCTCGGGAGATTTTTGAGGCTCCTGTTCACCACTTCCATCCAACCATCTGTCAGTGGATGAGCTGTCAAGCTGAATTGGAGTTTAATGTCAAGCTTTCCCCATGGGATTCTCCAGAAGTGACTCAGAAACTTGATGTTCCTATCAGATATAATGGTATGGGGCATTCGATGCAGCCTCACGATCTCCCTAAAATACAAATAAACGACGTGGGGTGCGTCCAACTTCATTTTGTAAGGCATGAAACAAGCCAACTTCGAGAATCGGTTAATCACGACCATAATTGACTCCTTGTTTCGTTGCGTCCTCGGAAGACCACCACAAAGTCCATATTGACGTCTACCCAAGGAGTTTTTAGTACTGATAACATGTATAGCCATAAATTTTGCGCTCGGATCTTGGCCGAGTGGCAAACTCAATATCAGACCTACCGCTCCATATCTTTCTTCAGTCCGAGCTAGAAAAAAAAAATCCTTTAATAGAGCCAAGGGTCTTATCCCTACCAAAATGACCTGCTAGTCCCCCATTGTGACTATCCTGAATGATGGATTTCCTCAATAAATATCCGGAAACACAAATTGTTCAAGTGAAACAGAAAATGATCTCAATGCCACTCCTGACATTATTCCCAAGTTTCCCTTAAATCCACATATGTCCCGTACAACTCCTTCATTACCTCAAATCCCACAACTCTTGATTGTAAGGAGGTAATTAGCAAATGGAGGTGGCTCTGGGCATCAGCTACCCAATTCTGACTTTCGGCCTTGTGCTTGAGCACGAGCTGAAATGATGTGAAGAACTCAATCCAAGAAGTATTCCTAACCTTCAACTTGCTCTGACTATTCAAGAATCAGTGCCTCATGATATGTGAGCAAAGCGAATTTGTTTATCAGTAGGTATTGCTCCAGCGGTGGAGAGCTCTCACATAACATAGAACTCTTTGTCATTTGTCGAATACTTTCTCGTGGACTCATTCAACTCCTCACTCAAGAATGCCATAAGATGTCCTCCCTGATGAAACAGAAAATGATCTCAATGGTACGGTCCCGTGGGCCGCTCCTGACATGATTCTCAAGTTTCCCTTAAATCCTCATGTCCCGTACAACTCCTTCACTACCTCAAATCCCACAACTCTTGATTGTAAGGAGGTAATTAATGAATGGAGGTGGCTCTGGGCATATGCTACCCAATTCTGACTTTCGGCCTTGTGTTTGTGCACGAATTGAAATGATGCGAAGAACTCAATCCAAGAAGTATTCCTAACCTTCAACTTGCTTTGACTGTTCAAGAATCAATGCCTAATGATATGTGAACAAAGCAAATTTGTTTATCAGTAGGTACTGACTCCAGCGGTGGAGAGCTCTCACATAACATAGAACTTATGTCATATGTCGAATACTTTCTCCTGGACTCATTCAACTCCTCGCTCAAGAATGCCATAAGATGTCCTCCTTGGCTCAACACTGTTTTGCTCCCCAATTTTGCCCAATTTCAATTCCAAATCAAAATTATGTCATATGTCGAATACTTTCTCCTGGACTCATTCAACTCCTCGCTCAAGAATGCCATAAGATGTCCTCCTTGGCTCAACACTGTTTTGCTCCCCAATTTTGCCCAATTTCAATTCCAAATCAAAATTCAACATCCTCAATCCTGGTCTAAACAAAATCCAAGCCCAACTTGATCCAATTGCAAGCTCAATTTCATTTAAATCAAAAACCCAATTTTGATCATATGTCTAAATCTACCAAATTGGTCCACCAATTCAACTCGAAATCACTTGAAACTTTGTCAAATCCCTCATGACATATTCCTACACCAAACTCAACATTCAATTAACCCAAATTTTAGCCCAAATTCAATTTCAAATTCAAAAGCCCAAGTCATTCAAAAGTTTCAAATTCAAAAGCCCAAGTCCACTACACTTAAATTCAAAAGCTCAAGTTCAAAGCCTACATGACAATTCTTTCTCCTCATCATTCATTCAATTAAAATCATTTCTAAAGTTTTGAATTCATAATCAAATTCTTCCAAATCAAGCATTATGTCAAATTCCACCAAAATATTTCAAAATTCAAAAAATCCCTTCTCATGAAAATTAGTCAAGCCACATGCAAGCCATGAAGCCACTACCAATCCATAGGTAAGCCATGTGAGTCTTGCCACATCACCAAGCTACTAGTGGAAAGAGGCCAAACCACTTTTAAGCCTCTTTAAAAAGGTTTTAAACATTTTTTATGAATCACTTAAACCAATGATTAACCAAATCCCTTTGGATGGGGACTTCTCCACCAATCCATAGGTAAGCCATGTGAGTCTTGCCACATCACCAAGCTACTAGTGGAAAGAGGCCAAACCACTTTTAAGCCTCTTTAAAAAGGTTTTAAACATTTTTTATGAATCACTTAAACCAATGATTAACCAAATCCCTTTGGATGGGGACTTCTCCACACCACTTTAGCTGACCCATCTAATCCTCTTCAGCCCAAGACCAAACTTGGTGGTTGAACCCAACCCAAACCATGTCTTGACCCAATTTAGCCCAAAATGACCATTTTCTCGTACTATTTCAATCTCATACCTTTACACATGGCAACCTCAAATTGATTGCACCAAAACCAAGCCCTGAGCACTCTAACCAAATGGTAACCCCTCCCTGGCCGGCCAACCACCTTGGTGGCCGGAAAACACCATGGCCAAGGGAGTCCATATGGTCAAAATTAAAAATTGAACCTACCTGATGTGCACAACTCTAATTGGACACTTGGGCACTTCTTCCCTCCACATAAGCAACCCTAAACACCCACCAATTGTCCCTGGTAGCCTCTCCAAACCCCTCTATTTAAACCCCCCCCCCCCTCCACGGCGAAAAGGCAAAGGGGACAGCTTGAAATTCCTTGGAGAAACTCTGTCAAATTGCTTCCAAAGCTTCCTTGAGACCACTTGAGCTTAGCCCAATCATCCTTAGCTACCCAAATCCAATGCTAGAGCTTAATGTTTTAGCCGAAATTCCTAAGTCGAAACAGGACATCTTCAAATCTCCACCAAATTCAAATTAATTGCACATACATCATCCCCACAGTAAGAGCAACATATCAACGTTCAATAACGAAAATTTTTTATGACCTCATTCACAACCAAGTAGAGTGTTATGTGGATGATTTGGTTATCAAAAGTAAACAGAAATCAAAC